CACTCACAAGCATGCACATGCACACACACACACACACACACAAGGCCAAGCACAAGCCGGTTGGGTTACTTTTGTTTCTTCTAGCCCCGCTGGAACGCACTGGTCAGGCCAGTTTCGTAGAGAGGTGAAAGAGAGAGCGAGAAAGAGTGCGAGCGAGAGAGGTGGAAGGAGAGAAAGACCTAAACTCCCCTCTCTACTGATACTGCAGGGATTCCACTCCAGCTGAAGGGTGAAACTGCATTCAATCATGTTACTATGACACTGATTATGAAACACGTACCTAACATCAGAGCTGAGCCAAAGATGCATCTGAAATTCTTTAACTCTTTCCATGGCAGTGAAATGTAAAACCCCACTGCAGAGCCCTGAGACCTTCACTAACCACAGTCAAATGATGTAGGGCTTCTGCTCTGAATATCTGCGAAAATGGATTTTTGAAAAATGTAAAAACGTACAATACATTAGACATTATATAACAGAATAATACACGATGTGGGAGAAGAAATGTGTATTCACCTGATTAATGAGTAACAGTGTCGTAACCTGGCTCAACCAGATCTGCAACAACTCACGCATCATCACTGAATGACCTATGCAAACTAACCACACCAACCAAAATTGAAACACATGCAGGCGATGCATCCAGCAGACAAACAATACATTATTAACATGCCATAATAATAAAATCATAACCATAACCTCAGTCCGAAGCAGAATGGGTGTGTCAGATGGGCGGAGATGATTTTTACGGAATTTACTGCCGTCTAAACGGTTAACAAATTTGAAATAATTATTTGACCCACATATGACCCACAGGAAACAGCTGCAGACATGAGTTAATTATCATCTACCCTGGAATCAGAATCTCCTGTTATGATGTCAGCAGTCAGGGGCCTACACAATGAGACACACTGTTGTGCGCTCCATCACTGCATTACAGTAATGTTCCCTGTAGTGAAATGCAATCATCTGAGAGAGCCACATTACAATATATCATTTTCCATAGGCTAGTGTGATCAGATGTTACTTTCTCTCCACCCCTCCCCAGGTAAATATCACACCTGTGCTTCTCTCACAGCCATTGGCTCAGCTGCTCTCCTGCGTGAGCGCCGAAGAACGGGAGGATGAATGATTTACAGAGCCCCCCACCCCCCCCCCCCCCCAGCTCTCACCCCGCTCTCAGCCCGCACTCGGCCTTGGACAGGCTTACATCACAGCCAAAAACAGGCCAATCAATAAAAGCCTAAATGAAACTAAACAAAACAGCAGAGGGGAGCTGCAGTGAGGGTCAGACAGAGCTCTGACTGACAGAACAAACATGTACAGACCTTAAACAAAGCCTCACCTTACCTTCAAACTACCTCTGCACTGTACACTACTGCAGCAGCACCATTCTACTACACTCACTGCAGCAGCACCATTCTACTACACTCACTGCAGCAGGACCATTCTACACACACTCACTGCAGCAGCACCATTCTACTACACTCACTGCAGCAGCACCATTCTACTACACTCACTGCAGCAGGACCATTCTACACACACTCACTGCAGCAGGACCATTCTACACACACTCACTGCAGCAGGACCATTCTACACACACTCACTGCAGCAGCACCATTCTACTACACTCACTGCAGCAGCACCATTCTACTACACTCACTGCAGCAGGACCATTCTACTACACTCACTGCAGCAGCACCATTCTACTACACTCACTGCAGCAGGACCATTCTACACACACTCACTGCAGCAGGACCATTCTACACACACTCACTGCAGCAGGACCATTCTACACACACTCACTGCAGCAGGACCATTCTACACACACTCACTGCAGCAGCACCATTCTACTACACTCACTGCAGCAGCACCATTCTACTACACTCCTGCTGCAGCTCTGCACTGATCCACATGCAACGCTGAGAGGCAGAGGTCGGGATTCAGTCAAAATCTGTCCTTAATTTTGGTTCAAAATTAAACACAAATGTTCATGTTCACCTTCACCAACACAGTTTGGCAAGTTCAGCAATCATGACAACTAAACTGTTCCTGCAGAGAAAAGTGTAGCACTCCAATTGAACTGTAAGTAAAAGTTAAGAACAAATGTTGATTGGATCCTGGCCAGGGTGTTTTATTTTTGCTTGGCAGCATGAACAAGGAGCTCTGCAGGGTGGGTAAATGAGTGTAAAAGCGGGGTAAACAGGGGCAGGAATGTGGTAAGAGAGGAGCAGCAGGAGCTGAGGGGCCATATTGATTTATTTGTTGGTTCTGATAGTTTTATCTTTGAAAAATACAGTTCTGCTGAGAAAGCTAATAGCTCCATACATTAATGAGTAAGAAGGATCAGAAGGGGTTAGAGGAGACAGGGTGGGGGAGGAAGAGAGTAAAGAAGGACCAGAGGTAAGGGTTAGAGGGTCGGAGGGGGGTAACACAGCTAGGTAGGGCAGGAGGATGAAAAAGGGTGGGGAGGAGAGGAAGGACTGGGGTAAGAGGGGGCAAGAGTGAAATAGGAGGGGGCAGAAGGGGGGTAATAGGGGCGCTGGGGAGAGACGTGTTCCCCACTTTAGTGCTCTTCTCATGCATGTGCCAGCCACCCTGACACAGGCACCTGGCATTCCTCACATTGTTACACGCTACCCGTTCGTTCAGCTGACTGTTACACTTTGCTTGGTTAGTGCTGGCCGACCCCACGTTAAGATCCTCACTCGGAGGAGCAACAGTCATAGAAGCCGTGTCCCCTCAAACCCAGGACTTTGTCACTGCATTCTGATTCCAATCTACTGCACACTCAGCTGCCACATATTCTACTACTGCTGGAACAGTAGAGCTGAAACCAGGCTGGCTCATTATAGCCCCTTTCCCACTGTAGAGCTGGAACCAGGCTGGCTCATTATACCCCCTTTCCCCCTGTAGAGCTGGAACCAGGCTGGCTCATTATAGCCCCTTTCCCACTGTAGAGCTGAAACCAGGCTGGCTCATTATAGCCCCTTTCCCACTGTAGAGCTGGAACCAGGCTGGCTCATTATACCCCCTTTCCCACTGTAGAGCTGGAACCAGGCTGGCTCATTATAGCCCCTTTCCCACTGTAGAGCTGGAACCAGGCTGGCTCATTATACCCCCTTTCCCACTGTAGAGCTGGAACCAGGCTGGCTCATTATACCCCCTTTCCCACTGTGGAGCTGAATCCAGGCTGGCTCTTTATACCCCCTTTCCCACTGTAGAGCTGGAACCAGGCTGGCTCATTATACCCCCTTTCCCACTGTGGAGCTGGAACCTGGCTTGACTTTAACCAAGTTAAAGTCTTTCAACTACAATAGCGCTTACTGTTGCAACCATGGTGCTAATACAATTTTAAAAATACAAAGGTTTTCCAGCAGGTTTCTATTATTTCAGTGGAGCAGAAGGAGAATCTTGTCAATTTGGGTTTGCATGTCCTGCGTCTGAGGTTGTTACAGTTACAGCCAGGGTAGCACGGTGCTGGTTTAGAGAGCCGTTGCATACGTCATCTTCAGATCCGTCAGGCAAGAGGAAATTCTACGGCAACGCTTTGGCGGGATCCCCTGAAGCGTAGCTATCAGTTAAACCATCAAAAGATACATACACACATCTCCAGATCATCATGTTTTTCGTCTCGTGTGTTTATTTGTGAAACGTTTATTCTTGTCCTCTTTATCAAAGGTAGTGTGAGATAGCAATATCTGCTGGTAGCCACGTCAACCTTACTTTCAAAACAGACAGCTCCAATGGACATAGGCCCTGCCTTAGCTTCTAACAAGGCCTAATGCGATAACACGAGAGCAAAACTTCAGTCTGGATGTCCCAAGTGTGCTCTGGTTTCCTTTTAATCAGCCATCGACTTTTGTCCTGATTGGATAAAGAGGCCACAAGGTTTGATTTAAAAGAAGCATATAAGTCTGTAAAAACAGCAAACACACCAACCCTTCAGGACGATCGCTGAGCACCATGAAAATATCATACTTATATCTACTGTATCTGCTGGTACTATTGTCATGCGTTTTTGTTGGCTAAAATAAAAAATAAAGCTTTATAACTTTATGTGCATACATTTTAAAAGTGTGGTTTCTGTGTGTGTGTTTGTGTGTGTGTGTGTATGTGTGTATGTGTATGTGTGTGTGTGTGTGTGTGTGTGTGTGTGTGTGTGTGTGTGTGTGTGTGTGTGATGAAAAAAAGGCACACTTCTTCATCAGTTGAATGTGATCTGTTTTGTCCTGTGAAAGCCAGAGGAATCAGGAGCAGAAGAGCAGTGAGTTATCAAAGTCACCCAACCACGTTCCAGCACAGATGGAGAAAGAAGCTGTGCAGAGGTGAGAATTTCAGCAGATATATCTTAATACAAGCCCGTAACTGTGAATCATCATAGAAGAGGACAACGACAGACAATCTGCGATGAAAAACCATCGGAATTTTCAAGCAAATACTGATCGTCATACGAGAGCTGTAGATCTTCAGCAATTGACTCTACACAAGTGAATTGATACTCGTACCATAAAACTGTGAATCTTCATGCAATAACACACAACCACAGACATTCAAATCTGAACAACCGTGGTCAACTAGAGGAACTGTTTTTCCTCCGTTCCAAAACCTCAGCATGCATGTGCTCACGTACTCACATGCACACACATGCAATATGTGCACACACACGCACGCTCAGACGTGCACACACGCACATGTGAACATGCACATGCACACATGCTCACAGACACTCACACACACACACACACACACACACTGGTCTGTGCATCCACACTTGTGCACACGCTCACAGACACACACACACAGTCGTAGTCACAGTTATACTGACAGGTCCCCAAACAGCTGTTTCCCCTCTCAGCACACAGTGTCATGAATCTGCAGGTGTCCTGCAACCAGATCAGCTGCACACATACCTGCCAGATCCCAGCACAGAGAAACTGCTTTAAAAACTGAAACAGTGCTGAAATTAAACTTTCTGTCATCCACTACTGCAGGTTGCTGCCACTGTGGCATAATGGTTAGAGAGCTGGGCTTGTGACTCAGAGGTTGCAGGTTCACTTCCCAGGGGAGAACACAGCAAGTGCACCATCAAGACAAGTACTGAGTTCCTCCAGGACTTGTGGAGTGTCTTCAGGTTGAAATCCCAGGTCACAGCACAGGCACAGCCACAGCCAATGTTTCTATAACCTAAACACCTCAATACTGCAATACATACACAGCTATGAACGTCAACCAAGTAAAAAATAACCAATCATCATCCAAAGAGACAATGCATCAGTTTGCTTTCTGATTGGAGGGACTGAGTTTGAACTCCACTTCAGGATTTCTGAAGCACTTTTCATTGGCTGGCTGCTAGAGTGGATAGGGATCAAAAGGTTTTTTCCTGCAATATTGATGGTGTTAATCCCTAATCCAGGGTTTACGTCTGCAAGCATACACAAAAACTGATAAGACCAGCCAGAACTCTCAGACTCAAGCATGATATTCTGGGATGTGCTTTGCTAGCAAACCAATGGCCATTGGCTATTTCTGATCAGACTGCAGAGGACCTCGGCCAGAAAAGATAACTGTGCTACTAAAAGCCCTCTACCTGAGAGTGAGTTTCTGGACTCTGTGGGCTCTCAGTCAAACTCATAATGCAATGCTCAAAATAGAATCAAGGCTAGTGTCCACTGAGCAGATAACATGAAGCGAACAATACTGAGATTGTTCTTGCACGCTTCTGTCTCCATGTTGTTGTCCCTGTACATGAATTGACCTTTGTATTCGATTGTTATTCTGTCATACTCTTGCACCTTATCTATATGGTTATTTTTATATTAGCCTTCTTGGGAGAGTGACCTTTTCGGTACTTATGGTGGAAACACAGCACATTTTTTCCTACTTGTTATTAAAATTTGCACATGGTCCCTGTCTTTAGTATCATGCTTTTGGAGAGGCAGGTGGAAGGGGTTATCCAGAGAATAAAAAGGCCCTGTTGCTATGGGTGACACAAAAAATACCAGGTCCCATATTCATGAAGATAAATAACACCTGTGCACAGGTATACAGCATACACACATACCACACCTGTGTCCAGCTACACCTGCCATGTTTACTGTACATCCACAAATGTGGGTGATGTTTTCCCCATCACTGAAGAGTGCTGAATTGGCCACTGTCGTCCCCTCAGGCAAGTTCATCCTGAAATTGTGGAAGATGTTGACCGCGTGTGTGAAATTAGAATAGCAGGGGACCATCTGTCTCTCTTTTCTCCTTCCCTCCATCAAAAGGAACAACAGCAGGAAACGAACTGTAAATCACGCGCGCTCTCTCCATTCAAATGGTGACGCCAACAGGAAACGCCAGAGCATCAGACTGTTATTACAGTCTTTTATTTTTCCATGAATGACTGATAGGGGCAAACAAACATCGGCGCGCGCTTCCCGCAGACAGACCCGACTTTCTGATTAAATGGTTCTACTGGTTTAATTACACAATTACATGGGTCATGACACAATAAACAAGCTTTAGACAGACCCGTATATACAACATTTTATGAAACTGTTTTCTTGGTATAATTAGATAGCTGTATATGTAAACAAACACAAACAGACACAGGGATGAGAGTTCTGTTCCCCGGGGCGTCGGAAGCGTTTAAACGGTGGGGGGCGGCAATATGTGACAACCTCAACAACATTTTTCTTAAATGAATGAAAATAAGGCTAGACAACCGGAACACAAATTCCTACACCTCTGCCACCAAAATGGTCCAACAATCCTTACTTAAGGACACGGATAGACTGCTATAAAGCCCAGGGCAAGGGCCAGCTTAGACACAACCTCAGACAGTTAAAGAGGGCACCATGAATTAAATTAACCATGCCAGCGATAACAGGCGCGCTGGAACCTTGATTGTATTGACACACTGATATGCGCAGAACGACTGCTGAGTCTAAAATTCTGCTAATGACAAGAAACGTTTGATTCACCGTGCCACTTGTCACACTGGCATTATTTGTTGTAACTTGGTCGCACCCGGATTTAAGTTTGAAAAACCAAAAGCGCAAAAGTAAAAGTTTGCACGTTTTCCAGCTAAGAGATTATCAGTGAGTTGTCCATTTAGTTAACACGTTTAGTTTGTTAAACTCCCTAATGTTCGCAGGCTCCAACAGAGTAACCTAACCACATTACGCTACAGACGATATAAAAAACATCAACATCACACAGGTACCCTGGTTATCAGCTAATACATCAATACAAACTAACTAACTTGAGGCATTGCCTTTCCTTAAAGCAGTCTTATTTGTCTAGATACCTGGCAGTCCCGAGCTTGTCAACCCGTCTGCTTCCGGAGATCACAGAAAACTGCTACTGTTTTTCTTCAGTAACTTTCAGCTTCCAACTTGAGAATCGGTAGGATAGCGCACCTGCTATGTATGTAGATGCATGGTGGCTTCGTGGCATGGAGAACAGGCGAGTCCTGCAAGCGCAACTGTACAAACAAACCTGGCTCCAACAGAACAACGGCGGGACTCCGTCATAGGGAGTCCCCTCCCACTACGAGTGAAATCGCTGGGGTAGCCGCGGATCATTCTTTCATACCCATAATTTTTTTGCTTCTTTGCGAGCTATGCTCAAACGCGCTGAAAGGGGGGCGGGGTGAAGTCTCATGACTTACCAAAAACAGCTAAATTGAATTCCCATCGCTCGTTACTTCCTGACGAAAGAGCTACCGATTCCAGACCACTGTATCCGTGGTCCCTTTGAGCCGTGTGTTTGTTTTATGGGTAATGTTTTACACAGAGCACTGCTTGATAAAGCACAAGTTTGTTTTGCCTATTGAGTCATCAAGCCCTCCTGCTTTGCTCTCTCTTTCCTTCAAGTATGTTTTCATACTTTCTGTAATGATTACAGACATGATGTATTTTCATAATTGTTTTTACTGCCTATTAAACATTTTATTTGAAGTACAAATGTGAAGCGAAAGTGGCGGTCTTTGTCTTGTTTGATTTTTAAAACCCTAATTAGATGTCACTGACGTAGTTCCCTTGACCTCCCACTGTGCTCCGACAACAGATATGTGAGGTTGAGCTTTTTTCATCAGAGGAACAATTGTGCTTCTGAATCGTCCTCCCATAAGATACAGGAAAAACGTGCTCCAGATATAGATTGTAATAGACGTTAATTCCAAAGACTTACAAAATACGTGCGCATGCTAGTTAACCCTTTTTATAGTCAGACATTCTCCTAATGTATTCATCGAGCAGTGAACAACAGCTTACTGCAAGTCGTCATGAATATACAAAGAGTGAGAGCTGACAGTGCTGCTACTATCAGTATGTATTATAACACCAATTCCGGCAATAGATGTATAAACCACCCCCCAAGCGGGATAGACTAACCTAAGTTGTCAAAGACACAGATCCAATACTCGTAACCAATCCAATGTATGCTTTAGTAGACGATAACAATATGACTGATCTGCAAATAAAACGCATGTGGAACCATAGGTAGCACAATCTAACACCGCGAACTTTCAACGGCTCCATATTTGGCTATAGTGCGAGGAATTTTGACTTGGCAGCAAAAAATGACACTACACTGGAATTACAGGTTCGGGTAGGACGGAGCGAACAATTCATTGTAGGAGTTCAGTCGGGGAGAGACCGAGGAGGAACACGCAGTAGCAACGGTGACGACACCACGTGAGCTGGCGGAAACAGTTGGATATTTCCGATTGGCCGATGGAGAGGCTTCTGTACACCTGAGAACGGTCTCCAACGCGGTCAGCCTGGCCCTCGGTCTTGTGCTCCATCTCCCGCCCTTAGCTTTATTCCCACACACTCATCTTCTCCCTCGCTGGCCATTACTCCCTCTCTCTCACTTTCTCGTTCTTTCTCTCGCACTTGCTCTCTCCCTCTCCTACATTCTCTCTCTTTCACTCACCCTTTATTTTGTTTTTTTGTCCCCTCTCGCGAGGTGCGCCCAAATGTTCGAAAAATGTCCTCTACTACCACAAATACTTTAAGGGAAGGAATAGATGAGGTGGTAGTAGAGGAACGGAGGGTACATTTTTCAAATATTTGGACACACCCCCTTACCTGTCCCCATCCCCACCTTACTCTACCCTTCCCTCCCTATTCTCTCTCTCTCTCATTCTCCCCTCCCCCTGGTTCCCGCTCTCCCCCATCCCCATGATACGGTTATCAGTGGGTGTGTCTTTCACTAACAGATTAAAGGTTTGTACACACACAATTTCAGAATGCGAACAAAACAAAATGCAACTGGACCAGTGGCAGCCATGCATTACTGCTCCAACCAGCAGTTTCCAACCAGAAAGTTCATCAGGTTTGAGCTTGCTGGACTGGCCCATGGCATAACCGTGCATCAGCCAATGAGAGGCCATGTCTGTGTGGCTCGTCACTTTAAAATGACCCCCTGCACTGGTCACACTGTATCAGACTGAAGACTCATGAACCCCACAATGGGTGGAGCTACAATGATCTGTCAGTCACTGACTTTTTAAATAGACAACTATGATTTGTTTAAATTAGTGAATAGCAGGGAGTGAATAGAAGCTCTGCCCACCTCCAGTTTAGGCTACATCACACATGCTGCATTCGAGAGCTTTGCAAACAGCTGGAGGGCAGCAAATATTTCAAAAATTAACATGCCTTCTGAATGAAATTTGATTTTCATTTTGGCTGAACAAAATGTAAAAAAAAAAAAACATAAAAACCTAAGTAGGAGATCTCAGGACCATCATTCTCTTTGTCTACACTAAAACTGAAGATAACACTTCATAAACATAGGCCCTGACTTCCTTATGCCTTTGTCTCCCCCTGCTGGTCTCTTGTGGATCTGCACTTTGAACAGCAGAAGAAAGTGCAGTGGCTTGATTGTAATAACTCCAACAACTTGTAGGAGGATAAGTAATGGGTGTGCAGATACACACACACACACACACACACACACACACACACACACACACACGCATACAGTCCTGAGGACCAACTGAGCATACAATCCACAAGTCCTTTAATGTTTCTGGGCTGTTGACCCATAATTCCAGCTGTTGTATTACATTT